CTCCTATCCACTCGTCAAATTGACAAAAATATCGGAATTATTTTATACGTCGATGACAGTACCAATATTGACATTCATGAGTACCAAGTCAGCTGTTATGAAGTCGATAAAGTTAGTTGAGTAGAGATCATAATCTCGGGGAATACTATGGCGTCAACATTTATTGGATTTTGAAGGAGTGTGTAAATTCACTTGCTTCAAGAAATCCAAGATTCATGTATTTAATGCTCCTACAAAGTGAATATCGAATAGTTGCATCTGAAAGTAGCCTTATGACCACTGGAAATAACTACAATTACTTTTGGAATGAAGGAAGGGAAGAAAGGAATTCACACAGATGGGGGTTGTAATTATGGCTGGTCAAAAAGGAGGTATAGAGATGGGGTGTTCTCTTATATTGTCAGCCTGTCAACTACAGCCTCTTATTATCTGACGTATAAAAAAGTCAAATGCATATCGATAGAGAGCTATTAGTACTATCTTCCTGACCTATGCGATCTAATGGTTGATATTGTGGTAAGACATCTCGTGCCAAAGTGTAGAGTTATAAGATTTGTTAGCCTATCTTCTATAAATTGATGAAAGTGTTTAATACAGCTTCTCTAGAGTAAGCACTAGCGAGTGTATACGTTGATTTTTTTATGATGACACTCATTGTTTCCGAAAAAGATGCTAGTAAAGTATGCTTGTAATACTATTCAGATTATTAGATGATTTTTGGTACTTATAACAACTCTAACCAAAACTATAAAAGGAAAATTCATAGGCATATTCCTACCTACTGCAGTTAGAAACTTTAACTTAAATAAAAAGTGATCAAGGAATGAATTCATATTTCAAACTAGGTTTCTGTGCCTTAATGCAAAATTATTGGAATACAGTTTTGGTCGTATCTTCAGGCAAGAATAGAAAAAAAAATTGTATTTCGTTACATCAATCGCTATCTCACTCCTTCCACAATGAAGAGAAGAGAACTCTTCGCCATCTATACAATTTCGCCTCATAATTTCTCTATAGTAATGATGCTTTCAGACAGAGTGGCTCCATTTTCAAACAAATCTAAATTACACTATCGTCTGAAATAGATTATGGAATTCAAAATTTGTATCGTATGCAAACACGTTTATATTTTAGCCATTTAAACATGTTCTTGTTCATTTATCATAGAATCTGAAATTTAAAGAATGTAGACATCCATTAATTGACATCTAACTTCGGACATTATAAAGGCCATTTATCTATAATAAAATTGTTATAATATTAAAATATGAGACTTATTTGCTGAGGTCGTTGATAGAGAAAATGATTTTCTGCTAGTTTGCCAGAAGTAGCACTATTTGAGTCACCCTTTAGTTTTCGGCCAATTTTTGAATATAAGTATAAGTCTCTATGCTCCCAGACTGAATAAGCTATTATTTTTTTTCGAAAAGAGAAAGCTAAATGAGAATTAATCATATAAGCATGTAAAGAAGGTTAAGAAATCATGTCACAAGCTCTCAGTCTAGGATCTTAAAGGTTTTTCCAATCCAAGAAAAGGTTTGTCTGGGACGGAATAATCTCATAAGTTTGGTTTAGCTGATGTGCTTAATTTAACATGCTGGACGAATGAGAAGAGGGCTAGAATCATCAATAAATCGACAAGTTAAGTCACCTTCTTTTGGACAGCGACTCAACACTAGCTATATCTCCTTCAATCTTTCAATAACGCATAAGTAATTCTTACTTAGCTTTTATTACAATTCCTCAAATTCAATTTATTTCATAGTTTATTCATTTAAATAACCTCACTAATTAGACGTGCCATAATCAGTAAATCTCTATATCTAAGACCATTCTACTTTGTGTCCAGTCTCTGCCCTGTGCTTAGGCAAGTTTGAAGAGCTCATAATGTAAAAGGTAATTCTAATTTGTAGATCTTTTTACATATTTGGCTGATTATTTTGCTATTTAGCAACATGGAAATAAGAGTTTATATAGAAGTTGTTTGACCCTGTTTGCGCAACTTAGTCATATTGGTGGGAGGACTTAGAGGAACGCACCTATTCCCGAGTCTATTGTATGCATGATCATTTCCAAAGTCGGACAGTGGACGTGATACATTCCTAGACGTTTCGCCAGAATCGTATTCTGCATCGTCAGTGAATCTCGCCATTTTTAGCAACACACAACAACTTCTCAAAGAGACAATTTAAGCCGATCCTTTGACCAAACGTAAGCTAAACAGTTGTGTTATCTCTTCTTCTGCCCTGGGCTATTCGCATCTTGTATATATCCTCCTATCATCCCTTCCCTGTCACAATTTTTACCGTGCTTATTTTTAATGTAGTGTAGTGTGCTCCTTAGAGCGGCATTTCTCGAAGGCTTCCTACTAATATGACCAACTTGCGAAAACTAGGTCAAACAACTTCTATACAACAAAAGGGGACTGCGACCACACAAAAGACCACACCATCTTGGTCTTCATACCTTTAAAGAGTTTATATAGTTTCCTACCATTACTAAGCCAACATGAAAGAAATACTAAGTTTACAATTCAATTAGGAGTAAATACGTTATTACAATTTTCGGCTTTCATGATCATTAGGAAAGATATCAAGTTTGGAAAAGCTGTTTTTAGAGAACAAGCCAATGCTGGTTTTATTCCTACGGTTTTCCCCAGTCTCGGTAACAGGTTTATCTTGATTTATTTAGCTTTGATGGCTCGAACCTGTTAGGCATTTTACTTACTTTGATTTAAAATCGGTATTGCGTATAGACGTTAACAAACACACAATAGGTACCATCTACAGTTATCCTATAGCTATACATTTTTGCTTTAAGTTATGAGTATGTTTAAGATGAAAGATAAACCTGACAGACCTTTTTGCCTCGTGTTAACCTGAGACGTTTGCAAGAATACGGTCCAGCTCGAAATATGCTCATCCTATGATAGGCGAAATCCCAAACCATTTTCACCCAAAACGATGATAGATTTTTCTTCGACTGCGTCTTTCTGAACGTCTTATTAAGCCAAATAGCTGCTGTATAATGTGATTTAGTCGTCGTATTCTAGTAAGTTCGACCTCCGAGTCGCTTTATGATGCATTTTTGTGTGCAATGAAAGCCTCCTATACAATGTAAACTTATGGAGATACAGCTAAACCCACTTACTCATCCAACCTAAAATTAGGGAATTATTGAACTAACTATAGTTTAGAGTAAATTATAGTGAAATCATCCGCGAAGTTTTACTGAGTAAAAATCCAACTCAAGTCTTCACCATCCAGATAAGATATTATATTATATTATGACTTACATCAAAGCATTCTTAGTTTAAATGAAATATGAATCTTTGGTATAAAATTACCTGAACATTCCTTCAAATCTGGATGAAGTTTTTCGAGCGAGCAGTTGAATTTAGATTCCCAAAACTCTTTGAACCAAGGATTCCAGGTATTTACCTGCGGATTTAATGAAAGAAAGTGTTCTTCAAAACCAGGCACAGGAGGTGAATGGATTCTTATTGAAATGCTTCCCTGTGCAATGGCACTTCGATGCTGTTCTCGAGCCTGTTTAACCATCATCGGGCCAAGTATATCTGTTCTATCAGCCCATCCGTCACTAAAATTCGGGAATATTAAGGGTTTATAATAGAAAGATATATTTAAAAAAATAATCGTTTAGAATGCTAAAAGCTTAAAAGACTTTATTAAAAACAATATTACTTAATCTTTTTCAAAGGTATGAAGTGCCATGGCTTATTAAGAGCAAAATATATAAATTAGTTTTATTATAAAGCTATTAAATTAAAAAAAATCGACGTCGAAATTCCAGAGTAATAACTACTTAGGCTGCATCAAAGCAACCAAAAATAACGATCTAAATGAAATAACCGAATGCCTAAAGAATTTATTGATTAGCAAGTTCTAGGAGAATTCTTAGGGATATAAATTTTTTTTATCCGCAACCCTATACAAGTATGGGAGAGGTCTGCCTTATCTAGCTTATGTTATAGTTTTATCTGTATTGAAACATGCCTCCCACTCAGTTTTTATGTACCGAGCAAAATATAAAAATATGCAAGGTCTGATGGATTCCTTCTAACTCAGATTTTCGTCGCCAGAATTTGTCTGCATGGAGGTTTTGACTTACCTTATTTATGATCAAAATTATATGAAATTGATAACTTGTTTCTTTCGTAACTCTGTAGAACACCTGCTATACATATCCAAGATAAAAATTACCTCAAAGTCACTAATAATAATAATAATAATAATCATTTACTGGATAAACTTGAATATGCGGTTTAAAATGATCTACATGGCTGGCTTCATATTTACTTACAGTTTTAAATATAAAACTGATAACCTCGAAATTTATCTTGCCAGACACTTGTTGCTGATTAACGTATTCAGCACCTGCCTAGATTACCTATTCTAAGTAATAGACATCTTTAATCACAGAATTAGCATGGCCTTGATTTTTTTAAATTGTCTTTGACAGAGGATGAAGCATATATTTAAACTTTTAGCCATCTCATTTAGTCTTCTTGTTACAAAGACTATATTGATAAAGTTTCAAACAATTATAAATAAATTAATATTGTAATATATATTAAAGACTATTACTTCCCATATCATTGTACTAGCAAGTATTTTATAAAATATAAATATCATTATATTAATCAACTTTAAAGCTAATTTTCTTCAAAGCTTAAATATGCGAAAAAAAACTTTTATTATTTTATGCAAATATTAATTATATCGAGATTTATTTATATCCCATTTAATTATATCCTCTTTTGTTAATGAATGATTTATTTGTATTTACAAAAATTGTATAAGATTTTATGCTTGAGATATAATAATTCTCTCAATACTACAGGAAAAAATAGCTGTTATAAATTTATTAGTTTGAAAATCCACAACCGTTTGAAGGATAAGATATATTATGAGCGAATACTATAAATTAGAAACAACTATACAGAATTTGAAAAAATATTACCTTCCTACAATTATATATCCGTTGTTAGTGAGATTGAGGAACATCATGGCTTCAAACAATTGTCCAACGGTTTCGCCCTGACAAAAGCAGATCACCACTTTGGCTGTATTATTGTTCATGAACAGGCGCTCAGCCAAGTCAATAAAGGCCTCTAAAGATTCTTTATTGTCAATGCTAAGTATCTTGTCGGTGCAAACGTCACTGGTCTCTAAAAGGTCCTCAAGTTGGCTGATGCCGCCACTTCCGTAAATTCCTATTTAAAACAGTAAAGGTGCATTCACTTAATATTGTGTCAGCTATGCAAGAAAGGACAATACTTCAATTAGAGTATATGTATTACTTAAACCAAAACATGTATAGTAATAGCCAGATATAATGACAAATACAAGTTTTCGACATCGACATTTCCATTGGAAAATGTTATTTGAGAGATGTATGGCTTGTCTTGAAGGTCATAACTGTTAATATTACCCACAAGCATCCGGTGTTGTATGGCCGAGTGGAAACGTATGGTTGCTGTATCCTTACGATCCATTATTAAATAACTTTGATGCTGATAAGACTAAGGCAGAGTCAAAACTTTAGACCGAAAAAGAGGGGAAAATCGTTTGTAGAGCAAGTCACGGTGAGGTTGATGGCATCGTGAGGCGCATTCATTTCTTTATGAGAAATATCCCTACCAATTCTTATATCACCTTAAAATCACCTAAAGATAACTGGGGTGATAAAATTTATCATTACATTTGGACTCATTACTTATTTATTCTTAACAATGATCTTCAAATTAAATATTATATTTTGATATTTGCATAGAAGTTAGATAAATCTTGATACCAAATTAATCCCTGATTACTTTTAGTAAGCTCCTTTATTTTGTCATAAAAATTACTGATTGTGATCAATGTTTGCATGAGCTGTATAACATCAGCCTAGCTTATAAATGCATAAATGTTCGTCTGCAGAAAATATATCATTAGTGACCTTGGGATCATATTACCTACATATTTGGCTAGAAAAGTGAGTGTGAATTTATTGAATAATACATAGTTTAATGTTGTCTTGTTATTTACTTTATTTTTATTCGCATAACAGTCAAGTTGGGATAATGTTTAGCTCTGACTTTACTGTTTATTAAAGATACATTTCTTTGTTTTAAAGCAGCAAGCGATCGATAATTTCCAGTTGAGTTTTCGCCATAAAAATCCGAGGTAGATGTTTAACTTGAATATCATTTTATTCATCTAAAGCTAGAGCAATCAGCTTTCTTATTTGTTTGGCATTATAAATCATAATTTATACACTGAGAGCTATATTCACAATCATTTGACGAATAAAGATAACTTCAGAAAATGTTTGTAAACTTCTCACTTTGATCAATATTGACTGAAACTTACTAATGAAAATAAATTCTAATACGAATATCGTGTTTATTGATCTGCTTTACTATATAGAATGAAACGTTATCGTGGCCAAAATGCTTTCACCTATCAGGCTGCAGATATAAAGATAGATGGGCTCATCACTACAACACTCTGGCTCAGAAATTTAATATCCATATTTTGAAGCTGACTACGGC